GGGGGGGGGGGGGGGGTTATTGCTGTCAGTGACACCTATGCTGGGGGGAGTCTTTCTGACATCATCATGCACAATGCAGGGTCCATAGCCCTGCATTATACATGAGGATGTCTGAGAAACAGTCCGCAAGCAAGAGAAAAGGGAAGGAGACATTATTTTCTAAATAGTGGACACCAATTATATCTTACCACATCACTTTTGACAGTGTAGATGCGATCAGCAAGACTTTCCACAGCAATCCACTTCACTGGCATCTTAGCAATACGTCCCTGGCGATAATAATCACCGCTGTATATTTTTTTAGACAGCCCAAAGTCAGCGACACAAACAGTCATATCGTCTCTCAACCTAGAAATCAAGAGACGACAATAATACAATCTGCTATATTAACATAACAGAAGCCTCACATCAGTTTTACAAGTCATAGTTTGTCTTCTTGCGTCATGCGTTACGAGGCCTAAACTGTTGTCACAAAAGTACCACAGTGTCACTACCGCTAAAGCAGGCCACCCACAACTTAAATTTTGGCTGATTCTTGTGGAATAGGCCAATATTTGATCCCTTAGTAGCCCTGCTGGCACCACCCAGTCTAACAAGATTAGATTTTCCAAAAGTGGTGGAAAGTTAACTGCTGAACAGTGCCTGCATCCAATCAGTGTGTAATGAATACAATAGTGAATGAATGTGAATCAATAATGAAATGCAATGCAAATGTGCTTATTTCTCACCTCTGCGTTATTGCCTGGACTCATTTGTAAAAAAACTTCCCTACCCCACTGACCTGTCTCCGCTGATAGATGTCCCTGTTTGTTTGGTTTATCAACTTGTGTTGTTTGATGTCCACTGTACTTGTGTGTGTATATCTAACTATGATGTTTCAGTTATTTATATGAAATCATGTCTGGAGAACTAAGGGATCTATGTATAACATTAAGAAAGTCATCCGCACACCAATGTAACATGCCTTTATTAGAGGCTAAGAATACATGTTACACTAGTGAACAGCAATGTTTTGGAACCATAAACGGTCCCTTCATCAGGCAAACATAATAAAAGCATGTTGATACATTGGATCTTGGTGCGCAGGTGAGTTTCTTCAGGTTTGGATTTACACGGCGCCATCTGCAAGTAATTCCAGCACCCACCTGAACATATTGGCATTCTGGTCTGGAGTACGTTGGGAAGTATACCATTATTTATAAATGTTTTTACAAAAGATTGACACAACTTTCACCTTTATTTTATACATTTATAAATGGTAACTCTAACGGGCTGATGTAAGAGGCTTTGCTGAGCTTACAGCTGGGTAAATGCCGTTGCATGGCATTACAGTCGCTAGATGGCACTGAGTAGAATAGGAAATGCTTCTCAAATTCCATTTTAGTGGCTGTAATGCCATGAAAACAGCATTTAAACATCAGTCCCTGATTCTAAAATACTGCGCCTCAAAAAATACTTAGCTACACAAAAGATACAGTTTGTAGGGGTTAATGGGAAGTTAAATTTGTATTCTTCTGAGTCTGGTACCCAGCATCATCACTCAGGAAGGTTTCTGCTGAGAATGCCCGATTGTCCACAGAGCTTCAGCAATTCTTTATTATGATCTGTTTTGATTCCACAAATAAACTAGGATGTATCTGAACAGGGGTGCTTGAGAATGATCCCTGCCATTACTCACATGCAGTTGCGGGCTGCCAGGTCTCTATGAAGGAAGTTTTTGTTGCTGAGGTACTCCATTCCAGTAGCAATGTCAATCATAAACTTCACCAGAGTCTGTAATGCCACATGCTAAAGAGAAAGATAAGAACATCTTAACCGATTGTATGAAATACCAGAAACATTACAGAAAGTCATTTTCTTTCTGATAGCTAACCTGCATTTTTTTCTGTGAATATTGCCAGAACACACCGTAATTATGGCCATATCTGTACTATACATCAGAGGTTCTGGATACACAGATGGCCAAAAGGGGCAAAAAGAAATAATATGAATGACTCTGTCCACTTGTCCATAAGCAGACAATGAGCTCCTTGTTTTAGGATTTTGTGCTGGAGGTGAGCTTTTCAGTTCCTTTTGTATGGCCTCACTAGGACCGTCCTTTCTACCTACCTTTGTATGGCCTCCCCTAGACATTCAAGCCCTACACCACTGAGTAAAGCCATATCCTGCACTGGTGAGGGCTAAGAAGCCTGACACAGCTACATGCAAGTTGTTAACACCAGCTCTGTAAGATTATGGCTATATCTGCACTATACACCAGCGGTTCTGGATGATTTGCATGACTCTGCCCAATTACCCATGAGCAGAGACTAAACTCCTTGTTATTGGGTTTTGTGCTGGAAGTGAGGACCTTCCATTATAAGAAGGCAATTCTGTGTGGTCCACTATTTTAAAATATTGATTTTAATTTGGTATTTGGTAGTAGATACTAAAAGTGCAACTGAAGCCATTTTTTTTAGTTTTGGATATAGTGAAGAGGCATTAGAACCCCTGTCAGGATTTTATTGTTGTCTATGTCCCCTTTAAGGAGAATCGCCCACTATATTTGTCCTGGTGACTCTTATTATTGAAAGTGAAAGAAAATCCCAAATTTTGGGTTGTCATCAGAACAGGAATAGATACGAAATCCTACAACGGGGTCACTAGTTCTGGTGACCCTGATGACCACAAGGGATTTCCCTCTCTTTGGAGAAATGTCCTCTTACTTCCTGTTGTGGCTATCCGACAAGTAGTGAAATCTACCCAAAGGGACACAGATGCAAAAAAAGCTCACGGGGGTTATAACCCTCCCTTATTCTATACAAAACGAAAAAAAGTTTTGGCTTTAGTTCTAATTTAAGATAAAAAAGACATATTGTATGTAATTTATTTGCATTACCAGTGCTGAAATTCAATGAACATAAAACTAATGAATAATAATAGGGATTTAGCTCAGGGTTGTCTGATTTTAATCCATTTTCCAAAAACATACATGTTTTTGGGGCTCTGCTGCCTGGACAGCTAGTGATCCACATCACTGTGTTTGTATGGATAACCAGTCAGACAAGTTTATCATAGCCGGCTATTCATCCTAACCAGCAATGGTTAACTCATTAATCAAACAGAATGCATAGCCAGATATTCATTCATTTCTTAGAAAATCCATATCTTTTGTTAAATAATAAGTATAACCCATTCTCAATAATTGATAACAATTTTATGAGAAAAGTTTCTCCGTCCTAAAATAATGTTCTATGCAATTTACCTGAGGACCAGATCCGATTCTGGAGGAGAGAAGAAAACTGTGCAAGTCTCCATATTTCATGAAGGGTAGAATAACCATGGGTTTGGGAATTCTTCTAGGACCCACTTCTAGGCAAACTCCTGTATTGGAAACATACAGAAAGCCTGATTACTAAAACCTTGCTGACACTGTTATATAGGTGTACGGTATTCACTATCCATTCCAGAATACTCGTATGCGCATGAATTTCTGCCCATGTGTGTGTTCAAGCTCACAAACAATCTTTTGGTAGGTTATACAGTTTCTACATATTTGTATATACAGTACATAAAATTATACACTAATACTGTACTATATTACTACACAATAGTAATACTTTAATATAAAACGATTACAAAAATGGCAGTATGGCAGAAGTGGATAAAATAGCAGCAAAACATTTATTTTCCTAATTCTAGGATTTAAGTATTTTGTTATATTCAAACAAACAGTCTTGCTCTGATGAGCAGAGGAAGTGTAAGATCAGATATAGGCTGTTTCAAAAACAGGGATGTGCATTTGACTTTATTGAATGTATGTGTGCATAGTCCCAAGCTTTGTATGTGAGGGCAAGCTGCATTTGTATTTAGTAAATTGGAGAAAGCATAGCCTCTGTTTGCCTGAAAATATTTCGCCCCCATTCACACCTGACCATGAATGTGTTTATGCAATTTGTCAACTTTTGGCACTTTTGTTTAGGCATTTGCAGGCTTAAAACACTCACATTATGCACATTTTTCAGGTGCTCCTATTACAGTCTATGGGTCCATAATTTCACGATTCTGCCCAAAAAAAGCTCAGGCATTTTTCAAGCTACAACGATGTTCGGGTGTAAATGATCACTATTGAAAACAATTGGGATTCTTCATCTTGAGTATTGTAGTGCCAGGGGAAATGGTGTAAATGAGGGTTTAGGTCTGTTCTACATTTGACATATAGAGTACTGCATTAGGTCCCAACAGTATATAAACACAGATGTGATGGCCTGTATATGTAATGTATTAAAATAAGGGGAATGGTAATGTAGATCAAGCTGAACAAAGGCTCTTCCATTTTTTAAGAGGCATTTATAAAGCGGTATGCAATGATTATGTAAAGTGACCCTTGCCATTCCTCTTGATGTCCGATTTACCAGTACCTGTGCATGGAGGCTGGGTTAAGCTTTTGGTTGCTTTTTCATGTCATAGCTGTCCAGCAGATGTGAAAACTGTAAAAATACACTTTGCCTACTTTCTTTTGGCTTCCTTCCTTCATCCCTCCTTTTCCTATTAGATGGTACTTTTCTATTGGCTGACCTCAAGCAATAGAAAAAAATACATATAATAATTTTAGTCAATTGAGAAATCAGGGATGATGTCACTGTATCCAGACATACTCTAAAAATTGTCTTTGCCTTCATAGGTCTAGGTTTTCACAGCTGCTATCTAGTAATGACATGAGAGAGAGAGAGCAATAAAGAGCTTAGACCCACCTCTATGCCCAGGAACTATAGTATGTTAGATTAGATAGCAAGACAAATGGCATCGTTCACTTTTTTTTTCCAGTTGCCAAGATCTGGCAAGATGTAAAACCTGTTTAGGACCACAAACACTGAAAGTGGCCAGCCTTATGCTAACAATCAGGAACCAATCAGCATGGCTCCTGTAAAAAAATACACGAGCAGGGCATCATAAGTGTACCAAATGAAGGTGTGTATATTTTTCTAAAATGGGGTATAAAAGAGGATTTCAGTTGCCATATTTGTCAGAGAGTTATTGTCAAATTAATTGACGCATACTAGGGTTCGATGACATCTGTTCATAAAAGGGTTAATATATGTTTTGGATAGAAGGAATTCTGCAAAACATAAAACCTAATAAAAATGGCCGGTATTAGGCGGCTCAATGGTGGCATATTTAAGTACGGACTTCTTTATTTGCAGATACTTAATCTTACCCAGCAGATTAATAACATTAAGGTGATTGAAGTCCTTCATACATGCAGCCTCACTGAGGAATTCTTCTATTTCTCTATGTGAAAAGTTGTCCACTAGAAAAAACAGACAAATAATTCAATATTATTACCATATATTATACATTTGTCAAACAATCCAATTTTTATGAGTGGAACTCCAGCAGGGGCACAAAAGGTAGCAATTGTTTCTTTTCCTAAACACATGGGTGGGTGGCAGGTCTGTCTCTGGTGTACCACTGTCACTCTGTCTATTCTGCGCAGGTTCGCTTCATAACCTTAGCCATTTCCATGCTTCCTCAAAGCTCCTTGAACCCCTAGAAATGCTCGGTATTCTACGTTTTGCATGATGTAGTGCTCATTCCTGAGTGGCCAATCACCAGGTTCAAGCACTGTCACATGAAGGTGAAGGGAAGGTCAATAGCCCTGTGAAAGCTCCAAGACAGAGCCTACATTGGGGCTCTTAAATCAGGGCAGGCGAACAGCGTAACAAGCAAGCTTGGGGAAGAGAAATCTAAGCAGAAGGGGGATAGTCTATCAAGAGAGCCTGTCAATTAACTGGCAAAGTACCACGTTCACTTTAAAAATGCTTCTTTTGGTTTCTCTATACCTCCTACTGCAGCTTTGGAAATATCATTGTGATTTGTGTATCAGTTAGAAGGTACTTTCACGCTCCCACATTTATTATATATTAATGTATATTTATTTGTTCTGTAAAAAATGTAGCACCCAACTAGGTAAGTTTTGTTATGTATGAAGAAAATACAGTTGGGAAACTGGAAGCTCTTTTCATTTTTTATTTTTTTTTGCTGGTTTGAAATTATTTTCACTGAATCAAAAATCTTTACTACTGTTGTGCAAAGTGAATATGCAAAAAAAGTTTTCTTACATTTCATGGTTTTGACAGCTACTTTTTGAGTTGTATCATCAGGATAGTGCAGCTCACCCTCCATCACTGATCCAAACTCACCTGAATGGAAAAGAAGTATAATAAAAAAAGGTTCATAGATAATAAGATGCATTAGCATCTGAGTCCCCAGCGTGCATTCAGTGCACCTTAAGCTGGCCAAACACCTATAGATTATCTGCAGATTTTCTATTGTCAGATGGGAAAAGTGCAACAGATTCCCCCATCTACGCTAAACTGTGTGGATGGAGAAATCTCCCACTGGGCCAAGCTTCAGTATCTTGCTAGTTGGCCCCGCTGGCTGTCAAAATACCTGAACAATCTGATTGGATGCAGGCATTGTTCGGGTGTTTTGAGAGCCAGCGGGGCCAACTAGGAAGATACTGAAGCTTGGCCCCATCCCACAGTTTAGTGTAGATGGAGGAATCTGTTGCACTTTTTTTATTTGGCCATACCAAATCTGCACATAATCTATATGTGCATGTGCATGGCCAGCTCTACTCATGGAGAAGCTAGCCAGGTGCTACGTGGCAGAGAATTACTGATTCCAATTCTGAAAGGAATAAACCTTATCACAGATCTCCTTTAAAGATCCTCATAGACACCTGCAACATACAAACATAATCCAGCTACTGAATTATCTTTTCATAAACATGCATATGATCTTGTTAGTATGCTTGTGTGTGCCCATGGTGGAAATAAGAAGTGTAGGAGGACACCACACCTGCTGTTGGCGTATCTATGGACAAACCAATAGCGATAGTCTGGAAAGATCCAACCTTAACTGATTCTTCCAAATGAATTTGAAATCCAACAGTACCAACAAAGCTATACACCCCAGTTACAATAGTTTTCAAGTAGGAAAAGAAATATGATATTCAATATTGTTTAAATGTTCATTACCAATTATGAAGTACTACATGTTATAAACCTTGATCAGACAATAACAAAAAAATCCAGAAGATGCTGGAAATTTTCTATGATAATGTTCAGAATAGAATATTATATACTGTATAGCTCTGTCCACATTTCTGCAAAGTAGAATGGGGAAATCTAGCCAACTGCAGAGAGTGGCGAAAGTTAAACAGATGCTTGTAAAAGGAAAAACTTTTAAATATATATATATAGACTCTTCACTTCAGAACAGGGCCATCCCTTTAATGAGGCAGCCTGAAGCTGTTGCCTCAGGTAGCATCTCTTTGGGTCACGTGGGAGAAGGCAGCAGGCAGAACGGCCACAGCAATACAGGTTGCTAATAGCTGGGCACGCAGAGCCCTCACACATCTCCCTGCTTGCTCCCCACCAGCACTCACCCCACCACTGATTGCATGCACCCCCCTTAGGCAGCAAAAAGGCTATGGACACCCGTGCTCCAGAACATTGGCACTCGGGGAAAAAACAAATGTTTGCTGTGCAAATATTTAAAGCTGAACTCTGGGTATAACATTTTATGTATACTTACATTGGTACAGCTTGGCCTAATGTAAGTATATATAATTTATCTCTAGCAGAGCCACAGGGATCCTGTAAAACACTGAAGTAGCCACTACAGTGCTTTGCAGAAGTCTGCCAGGTCCTGTATGACTCTGTGCTCTGCAGCTTCCCCTCTGCTCTGAAAACACAGCAGGTTGTTTGCTTGGCACAGCAGCCATTCAGAGAATATTTAGTATTTTTATAAATAAATATAAGGTGTTCTCTGTTTGGATAAGGGGCAGTGATGTCACAATCTGCCTCTCGCCTTGTATGTATTGATTACAATACTAGGAATTCTGTGAATGGGTGCTGTGCCGAGCAAACAACCCCCTGTGTTTTCACAGCAGAGGGGAAGCTGCAGAACGCAAAACCATACAGGACCAGGTTGATCGCTGTAAAGCACTGTAGAAGCTCCGGCTACTATAGTGTTTATAGGATCCCCGTGGCCCAACCACCCAGACCAATGTAAGTATATATAACAATTCATAACTGGAGTAATGTAACTCGCCCAATATGCTGCCAGGTTATGATGCTTACCCTCACCCAACACCTTTCCTAGAGTCAATAAGCTTCTCTCGACCATCACATCTTCCAGTTTCTGCTGCAGATCTTGACTGATCCCTAATGTACTTACTGTAAGAAATGAGGAAAAAGTTATCAAATGTACAGGCAATTATTTAGTTTTAAATGATGAAAAGATTCAAATGACATGCCCAATAGGTGCCAACTCTTCAGTAATAAAATGTACACTGTCCGGCCCAAAAAAAGTCACCACCTGGATTTCAGGCAGTATCAGCTGCTTAGCTGCTTCAGCTGGTCAGGTCTAGGTTCTGCAGTGTTATGTCCTCAAAAAAATTAGGTCAGCTGCTTACCTGAATATACGTAATGACCAGGTTTTTCCATCAATGGATTTTTTTCTTACCTGATGACAATGCCAGGGTTCATCTGGCTCGAATTATGAAAGAGTGGTTCAGGGAGCATGAGGCATAATTTTCAAACATGGATTGGCCACCCCAGAGTCCAGACCTTAACCCCATTGAGAATCTTTGGGATGTGCTGGAAAAGATTTTTCGCAGTGGTCCAAATCTCCCATGATCACTACAAGATCTTGGTGAAAAATGAATGCAACTCTGGGCGGAAAAAAACGTTGTGACATTGCATAAGCCTATGGAAACGATGCCACGGTGAATGTGTGTTGTAATCAAAACTAAAGGCGGTCCGAGGCAATATTAGAATGTGTGACTTTTTTTTGGCCAGGCAGTGTATATGTCTTCTATACGTAGACATGAGATGACTGTCCTCAAGACAATTATCATGGCAGGAGAATTAACAGTCCTTATGCCCATGAGTAACAGCATACAGCAGCAGACACCCCTAGCAACCAATTTTGGGGGAGATAACAACAGGCTATGCTGTATATTATTAGACAATTGCTGTTGTTTATTCTCAGGATGGAACTAAAGGTATTTGGTTGAGCCCCCTCCTTCTTCCAAAATCATACTAACTTGGGTGATCTCGTTTAAACAAATGAGCTCCAGAGTTTTGAGTGGAGCAGCAGTGGTCAGAACCTCTGTCACTGATTTATCAATTTGTTGCTATTTGTGTTCTCATTGGGGACAATTTCCCCTCATTTTCTGTCCAAGTGACAGTAACCATAAAGGCATGAGATACCTCCAATGAGATGCATACATCAATAAAACACTTGGGAAATAAAACAGCGTGGGGCTTTTCACTGCTGTCAGGTAGCTCTCCACTCTTTTCCAGTGCCAGTAATGGAGTTCTTTGGTACAGAAAGTGAGAAGAAAGTTCGCCATTTGAGAACCAACCTGCAACACAAACTTGACAAACGGTTCTAACTTTTAACCATACTATACACAACTGAAATAAAGGGCTGGAATTACACTTTAAGGACAATGAACTGCAGTGGAAAGATACACTAAAGGGTATTTATGGTCAAAAACTAAAATAAATATATTTAATATGAAAAATAAATATGTATTTCTATACTGAATTTCCATAAGTTCTATCCCACTCTTAATAACCATATCCATCTACAAATGTATAAACGTAATTATTTAAGATGACCATAGGATAGAATTCCTCAATGCACTGACAGAATTTCACTCAGCCCTGTGAATATGCACTTCCCAACTCTCACTGAGCTTGCCTTCTAAACTACGACTCAGTTTCTTGCTGGAAGCAATGCCAGTATGTCACTTGGCCATTGGAGTCTATAATCATGGACATTCCAGGCCATGCTAGGACTCTATAGCCCTCTTGATGCCTAAACTGCTAACAGAAGCTCCAGGCACATTGATGCAGGACTACAATGCAAAAGGTTGCTCTGTCTCAGTGCTGCCCTAACCCTCAGCCGTCCTGAACACCTCTAACAGCAAGCAACAGGTGAGAAAAAAAAAGAGCAAGCAGAATAGAAATCTAACGGATTCCCCCATCTACACTAAACAGCATGAATGGATGACTCTCCATTGCTGAGCTATTGTATTTTGACTGACGGAACCTACTCTCAGGATTCCCTAACAGTGACTGAGGCTGATTTGCCGCAGTTACTGTTCGGCCGCCAATTTTCAGCCAGGCTCCTTTTACAGAGTCGATTGAGTAATCTCTTGTGGACGAACAGGAAGGGATACCCATTTATAAAATGTTGGCAGATTCCTCAGCCAAAATTCTAAAAGTGTATGGCCAGCTTAACACCAGCCACTTTATCCAATTCATAAGTCATAAGACTTTATAAACTGCATGCCAAAATTAAAAAAGAAGCAGGGAGAGACAGCTGAAGTCTGAATGCAAGCTTCACATTTTCCTGTAAATGACGAATTAGCAGGTGCTCTTTCTGACCTCCTGAAATCCCCCTCCCCCCCATCCCATTTCAAACAGAACTCCCAGTAAAATGTTTCTTAACCCTTGTAGTGGGGCCCCCCGCACTGCAAGGGTTAACTGCTTCTTTTGGCTTAGGAGGAACATAAAGTTATACTCACCCAATCCTCGGGGCAGCATGCTCTTAGGACAGTCCCTGTAGCCTCTCTCCTCCTCCTTTGCAGCAGTCTAACGTCCTATGAGTCATCACGTCTTATACAATGTATAGGTCGTATGGACACCGAGGGACAAACCATCACTGCAGTGGAGAAGACATGCTGGAGGGAGCACTGTCACAGCTGGTTGGCTCCAAGGATTGGGTAAGTATATCTTTGTTATTTTTGAACCTAGACAAAAGCGAGCAGTTAAGCAAGGGTTTAGAATACTTTTACCCAGAGTTCTACTTTAAAGACCAATAGTGAGGCATGGAATGCATGAAGGGTGGTCTATAGCTTGACTTTTACAGGCGATGTCAATTCAGCTACCCATATCTTTGCATCTGCTGATCACTTTATCTTTACTGAAAAGCGAATGGCAATCTCATTCTATCATCACTTACTCAGTATACATTTGTATACAGGTTTGTGTTGGTAATCCCTTCATTGTATTCAAACAGGTCTAAATCTGTCAACATGCGGAACAACTTTTATATCAGATAGACACCACATATTCTGTGCTATTGTTAGAAGTTAGTGAGGCACAATTAACTTACGTGTGACTTCAATGGCTTTCCTGTTGTAGGACCTCTTTGCTGTGTAATTCACTACAAAGTCTGAATCATCCGAGCTGACAAAAGCATGTCTAGATAAATAAAATGAAAACATTGCAGTGTAAAGACATTCAGAAACACTGGCAATTTGTCTGTATGTGTGATGAGACACCAAAAGTGCATTCATTCTGCACACATATCATATCAAAACATTGCTTTTGTGGAAAATGACTCGTCTATGCATCAATGTGCGACTGTCTCAGTCCTGGCTATTCACTCACTGCCGTTTGGCCCCTACGAGAATAGGGGAAAACGGCAGCGAGTGAACTGCCTGGGGTTCGGCTGAGCCAATCCAGATGTTGGATTAGCGGAGTCGAACGGCTTCTTCACAGAGCATATTTGGCTGACCGAAGCCAGCCGATGTATGGCTGATTTTGGCCGATGTACGGCTGAAACAGCCGCACGGGGCCCAAGTGAATAGCCGGACGGCATTCGGCTCAGTTCTTCACTTGGCTGCCTTCGGCATTGAAGTTAATGATTGGATGACAGCAGGCAGATTTGAAAGCGGCAGAGTGCTGGTACACCACATGTAATCGTATATGATACGATTACATGCGGTTAGGAATGTATCACTATCCCTGGACAGAATACCGATGCAGCCAGGGATAGTGATTGATTCCTAACCACATGTAATCGATTCATATACTGTACGATTACATGCGGAGTGTCAGCGTTCTGCCACTTTCATATGCAGCTGCTGTCACCAGATCCTTAACTTGAACGGGTGACAGCTGCCGCTTGTGAACTGAAGATTTGTAATTCCTGCTGTAGGAAATTGTAAGTTCCTGCCGCAGGAATTCCAAATCGTACCTACTTTTGAATGAGGGCTAAAATGCTATTTTCCTGTCCAATAACTGCATTTCTACTGACCACTGAGGCACCCACATTGTTTAGTGGCATGGCATTTGTCAGGGCTTAGCATTTGTGTTTGATAAGGCTCTTAAAAGGGCAGATTGCACCCCCTTTGTCACAAGCCATGCGGTTTGATAATATATTGCAGAAATAAAGTCAAGAATCGTCTTAGTAGTAGCGAGATATACAGTATGTCTAATATGCATACCTACTCTGTGGAATCTACTTGTCATATATTATGGCTGCATGTTACTTAAACTACAAAGAGTCTTGAGACCCCACTCAGCGGCTTCTATACCTCTTTTCTTTCAAACCCATGATTAGATGTAGGCACCCTTTTCTAGATCAAAAGAAACAAAGCGCTAAAGGTAGCTGTAAGCTGTAAAGGTCACCTGTTACCCGAGAGGGACAGTTTGGATCAATCTTAAGTACACTGCTATTTTTTGCACATTTTTATATTTGCACATGGAAACCACCTTTCACTTGGATTTTTTAAGCATTGGACACTGATTTTGACGTTTTAAACATTGTTCGTTTATTTATTCCATCTGAATGAATTTTAGTGGTTTTAATTGATTTTTGTATTTTGGTTAGACTGGTTATATCTATACTTGTTTATGAAGCTAGTCCTGTTTTATACTTTTATATTAGCTTCCATACTGACCTCGCCAGAATCAATTATAGCTTATTCCTTTGCTCATACAGCTACCTTTAGCGCTTTGTTTCTTTTGATCATACTAGGTTCCACCTTTTTCAGAGCAGCTTGGGGTATAACTATTCACATTTATTCACATTTATTCACATTTATTCTTATTTTATTAATTTAATTAATTTAATTTATTACTAAATTTTATTTTTCCAGAAGCGCAGATTTATTTGTTCACACCCTTTTCTAGATGTGGCCATAGAAAGGAGAAATAAAAAGTAAACAAAATTGTAAGTGTTAAGCTTTGGTCTTTCATAATTCTCGAAAAAAGTAGGGTTAATAGGAGTCTATTGGCATCTCACAACCTAGACAGGAGAGTAAGAATTTCATATAAAATATGAAGGACCTCTAGTTTCAAATTTTCACTAGTGCCCAGTGTTTTTAGTTACCTATTGTTTTTACATCTAGCCCAGACCATGTTGACATACATGGAATGGAAAAAGCCAAATTCACAGATTCTCCTTCCACATAGTAGTATCCCTAGCTACAAAATCACTCAACAATACTTTTACTAACTCGGGAGACACCCAGCCAACAGGATGTGACATTTTAACTCCATGATGTTCTACCTTCTCAGATCATGTGCTCACTAGGCATGATGGAATCATAACAACATTCTTTGTACTTGCTTCATTTCCCTGGTATTCCATGTATGCTCTGTTTAAACTAAAGGTCCCGCTCTGATATTAGTGCTGTATCAGAGAATGAATCATAAAAATAACACAGGGAAGGCAGAAGCTATTGTTTTCGGTTTGTCTTGAGTCATATGCTCAGAAATTACCTTTTGTTCACCAGGTGGCAGTTTATATAATGCTGGTGAACTATATGATTACGTATTTCTATCCATTATTACCAAGCATGTTCAAAATAGCAAGTGTATCATTCAGATGTTGGAAAAGGCAAGCAATCCACTTTCAGTTATTGGGAACAGTTGGTTTATAGGAAATGACAAGTGATAATTTTGATAACGAGAAGTTTTAGTCATACTTTGCCTAGTCCAGTGACCTGATGTCTGGTGTTAAATATTATAAATATTTATTTATTCACAATTATTTATTAGGATGTTCAAATCCATAAAAAAAATGAAAATATGAGAAAATCATCCATAAATCATTTTTGTATTTCTGTTTTAACAGTACTTTTAAAATACCACAGTTCTTTTAATTATATCTGGGGGTGATTACTAACTTTAAAAATACAAACTCCTCCATCTACCTGTTCTTTCCCCAAGCTTTGAGGGCTATCATCACATACTCAGCTGCTGTAAAAAAAAATTGCTCTGTTTCAATTTGGCTTGTCTGAGTCTACACTGTAACTGTAGCTGATGAGTGATATAGGAATCTGCTCCAAATGCAAAGTTTAGCTAACCCCTCTCTAGCCCCCAGTTTTTGTAGTTCCACACATCCAGTTGTGAAGAGCAGAGTGCAGTATCTTAAAGGAGCCCTGAAGCCCCCCTTTGTTTTCAACACTGATCCTGAGGTGTGTACTTGTACTGAAGCTACACTTCTTCTGTGTTTCATCTGGACTTCATTGGTGAGATACCCCCACCAAAATGCCATATTGTGGCACTGTAATTCTTCTCTTGTGGTAGGGATAGACACCCAAAATAATGCAGGAAAACATCACCAAAGGAATCTCTGAGAAGAATAAGAGCCTGACAAGTGATTCAGCCCACCTGTACTCACAAAAACATTAGCTGATCTTTATCAAAAATATATACATGCTTTACTACTCTTCATATTACTATTGTTGATTCAAGCATATAAGATGTTTCAAGCTTCAGGCTGTGCATATACATAGGAGAATAACTGCCCTCCACCACTTTAAACTCACACTATTATTATATTATAAATATTATAAATATAAATTGCT